CTCAGCTACTGATCTCAACAATGCTAGTCCTTTACACACATTTAAGTGGATTGATATTCCCATTCTTAGCGATCAGAGGCCTTCTGACACAAAGGTTTGTTATACTAGTTCTTATTGCATTGTGTTAACCAATGTTATGATAATATAATTTTGAGATGTAAAGAAGATACTTAAAAGATTGAGAAATATTATGCAAATCAAGATATTTATTTTATACTGTTACAGTTACCATAAGATTTGTTTGGAAGAGAATCTTTCAGACCATCGAATTTTATGAGAAATTAATTTTGCGAGACTTCTATCAAACTTTTTATTATGAGAACAATTTGTGAATAATAAATTTAGTGTCATAGTTCATCTTGTGTTGAGACCTCTCTTGGTTGGTGAAACTCACTTTTTCTTTTTTTCAATTTGAAGCATCAAATTGATTGATACATAACGCACACAAAATATTTTTTGAGAGTTCCATGTAGCATCCACAGTGGATTACTATGCTATCATTAAAAACAAAAACAACAACAACTGAAAACTTCTTTTGTCACAATTGCTACCAAATTTGTGTCAGTTTTCTGGGTCTGCCATAATAAGTGAAAACTTGAAAGATACAGTTTCTTGGTTATTTTATTAAAAGTAATTACTTTCCAAGAGCTTTTCTGCTAGGAGTGTTTAAGGCAAGCCATGTAGTGCAGGTGAGCAGTACTGAACTTATTGACTTACTGCTGACATAAAAAAAACTCTATTGAACTTAAAACAATTCAGGTACCTAATAGAAAATTTGTATTAATTTTGCAACAATAGTCACCCTCATCCATAATTCACAGAGAATAAGATAAGTATAGAACAATAAATACTAAGCAAAAATACATGCCTCTGTGCATAAACTTGAAGAAGTGAAAGCTTGTAGGCAAACCATTGGGGCCATAAAATGTATTTGAAAAACCAAAAGTGGCACACTGCTTTCCTTTCTTTTCGGGAGAAAAATTAGCTTTATCGAGATTTCGGCTAGGACCATTCATTTCCCTTAAAAATCGAACAATTTTACGGCCCACCTACGAATTTCAACAAAAGCGCTCACGGAGATTTTACACGAGTCAACCCCAGCCTGGTTCTCATGTGTGCGTGGTTGCATGTCCAATATGGCGCTAGAAATTGTAAAAAGGTCTATTTGGTGGTATGCTTGTTCTGAAGCAGGGGTAGAACTTGAAAATCTGGTAAGGGATACATCTGCAATGGGGCAATACCTTCAGATACTGCTGATGCCATTAATATTTGCCTTTTACTGACTAAATATTCTGTGAAACATGAATTGGCAAAAAATGTAACACAAAAGAAAAAACTATCATGATGTCAGCATTCACTCACAGCTTGGTAGTTTAACCTACATTCTTACATGCACCATAAAATAGGGAGTTTTTTTGTGACCTGTAAGAAGTATAATCACTGTCTGGAGTAGAAATTAATCATTTGCAACAAAAAGTAATGAGTAAGTGAACGCAATGTTGCGACACTGCAGTAAAATTAGATGCAATGCCTCACTAACCGAAAGCTTTGCCACAACTCCCTGAATTTTTTTTAACACATGACGAGTTTTCTCATGGGACTTTTTTTCTACTTGATTGCACACATTTAGCTTTTTTAGAGACAAAAATAGATGTATAGAACAATACAAGTGGCAAGCATATCAGAATTTAAGGTCAAAATATATCAAAAATGCTGAAGAATGGTAAGTGTTCCCCTATTACGTTACCAATATGGATCAAGCTGCCTGCGGTTATTACCCAAAAGCCATGATATGCGCATTCTTTTACTTTTCGATTTTGCACCAACTCATCGAATGATTTCGTCCATTCTTTAAACTTGATTGGAAGACCATAATTAATCCCCATACATCTAAGTATTTCTCAAAAACCTGCATCACACCGAACAAGGCTCAAAGGAATTAAACTACAACCGGCTTTCATCTAACTGCAATTGTTATCGCAACAACACTAAGGCTGAAACAAACACGGTGTGAAATGAATTGTTGCTTGTCACAAAAATATGAAATCGGAAAGTTGTGAATCCTTAGTCGTACCCTTAATATATCCTTGAGACTTCTGAGAAGAATCATTAGAGTTTAATACCCAAACTGCGAAACAGGAAATATTTCGTAATACGCTTCGAAAATAAACAGGAATGAGGTTCGACCATCCGCAGTTTCCTCTCAAAAGGATGAAAAGAGCTTATAATGGTTATAAATCCACTCACTTGCGACGAATGGAGGTGGTGGTCCCAGATTTTCATTTCGATCATCTTGTTCTTGCAACAGAGGAGCATTTTCACTTGAATCAGGCTCTGGAGGGGCAGATGTCCCTGCTGAATCCCCTGCGTTAGCCGCCATTTTGTGTTCTTGGGAGTTACTCAAGCGACGAAGGATGTCACGTGACAATCAGGTGACAGTCATCAAAAAAAACTACGTCATGGGCTTATAAAAAGAGAAATGATCCATGTAACGGAATTGGACTCGCAGGTTACCTTGTCGGTATTTTTTGTCCAAATTTCCCTCCCCTTTTCGTCGATAGATAGCTTTTGAAAGCTTATTTTATTTTTTCAAATACCATATTTCATCGAATAAGCACCTGAACCCTACTAAGCGCCTTCCCCCAAAAAAACCCTCACCCCCAAGGCTATAATATTAAACAAACGAGAAAATACAGTTTGCTGAACATCTGTATAGCTGTGTCGCACGAATTGAGCGTTAACATTACAGAAAGTCTATCCTTTTCAGTTATATATCATTAAAATTTGATACTGATTTAAATGTATGAA